CCTGCCATCCCAAGGAATGTGCTCTGCTGAATTTTGGAATTGTGGTGCAGTCACAGGAGGGCTAAATAATGGAATAATTTTATTTATGCCTCTTGCTGAGGAGGTTACCCAGGTGTGCTCTGCCTGTTTCCATTTCCCCTTCGCTGTGGGCGCCTTTCATTTGGGCAGTGGCAAAGAGGAGCTCAAAGAGCTCCTACAAATAATTTAATTTCTCAGAAAAATCACTGATTTTTAGGGCTAGGAGAGACTTTTGATGGAGATAATTTTCCCTAGAATGGCTCAAGTTCCTTAAATTCCTTGCAAATATTTTTAAATTTTGAGGTGGTGGAGTCTCCATCTCTGGGAATGTTCCAGAGGTGTTTGGATGTGGCACTTGGGGGACATTTTAGGTGTTTAAAAATCATATTTTAGACCTATTTCCATATTTTAGAACATATCTTTGCCTATTTCCATGATGAAAAGTCACTTCTACCCTTAATGATTCTGTGATAATTACCTTAATCTGCTAATTTGTGCAAATTAATGAATTTAGCAGCAAGTTTTCCATAATTAACAACAAGTTGTATTCCTAGAGAATCTGAAAGCAGACAGTTCTATCATGGGAACAGATTTTCTCTGGGAAAACTTTTCTGGAAAACTGAATTATTAAAGAAATTCAGTTTGCTGGAAGCGCACTCAGAGTTGAGTTTGTGTCCTCACATAACCCCCAGAACTGGCTGGGAACCACTCTCTGCAATTATTTATTAAAAAGAAATAGAAATATTTAATTTGTGTTCAAAGGTAAAGCCCACCAAGGTGAGTTGTGTAACTCAGGAAAAGCAGAGCAGCTCTCAAAATCCAAATTTCCAAATTCTAAATTTGGGAATTCCAGCTCCCAAATTCTTCTTTTCCTTTCAGCTTTGTTTGGTGTCACTGCAGAAAAGCCTTTTGTGAACTCAGCTGGAAATAAAGGTGGAAATAAAGGAAAAAAAAGACATTTTTAATTGCCTTGCAGGCCACTGGAATAATCTTGAGGTGGATTTTGGGGTTTTGAAGTACTTAAAGAATTACTTCTGCTCTGCAGGAAGTTTTACTTCACGTGTTTTAAGCCTCTTAGATCACATTAAAAAGAAAACATTTTAAAAGTAGATTTCCAAAAAGATGAGTGTTTTTACATGTTTCTAGATTTTTGTGTCCACAGCTGTGATTTTGGCAAAATATTCCCTAATGGGAATGTAAAACTTAATCATTGGCACCTGCATACATTTTGAAGATTAAAATTATTTTCCTGCCAAAAAAAATGTAATTTATATTTTTATATATTTTTAATTATATATTTTTTAATGTTTTTATATTTTTTTGTGACAATGTTTATCATTTTTAATGTTTTTGCTTTCCAAATAAAGCCCAGGGTTAAGACTGTGGTTCAAAATCACATCTCAATAATCCAGATTTACTTTGAACAGTAAAACCATTACAAAAAAAATGAGAAACCTTCCATTATGAAAAGTTTTTCAACAGAACTTCTGGAAGTGTTTAGTTAAGTGGAGGTATTTTGAGAAGCTTCAGCTTTGTGACACACTGTAGGTCTCAGAAATTATTTTTTTTAAATATTCTATTATATTATTATTTATTATTATTTTTATTCTTTATTCCACTTATTTAAGTCCTCAAAGTGGGCTGATCAGTCAATGCTTTAAGAAAACAATACAAATACTTTTGTGGGTAGAAATAAAATGAAAACATATTTCTATATTTATTTAAATCTTCAAATAACTCTTGCTGCACAAAATGGTTGTTGGGTGCCTTAAAAATACCTAAATCAGGTGCTCTTGTTTTTCCTCATAAAATATGGAAATATTCTGGGAATGATTGAAATCTGGGCTGTGTTCATTGAACCTGAAGTTGGGACTGGGGTCTCAAATACCATTTTATAATTTTTTTGTGGGTGTAATGAATAATTAAACTATGAAAGTCATTGTTAATAAATAATGGAATCACAGTATTAAAAATGAGGTGTTTGGTGAGTGGGATCTGCCAGGCACAGGGGTTTAGGATGTGACAATATCCTAAATAAAGTTTGTGAGGTTCTGCCAGCTTTAGATGGGAGAAAAATAATCCATAAATTCCAGCTTTAGATCTTTTGTCTCTTTCAGCATTTGCCAGAGATAGCCAGAATTAATTTCATTAATGATATCATTGATCACTGGCTCCTCTCACAAAAGCAGAGCTGTCAATACTCAGTGGATTTAATTTATTAAAATGTAACTTCCCTCTTCCCTGGGCAGATTTTCAGAGGGACACAGTGAGGAATTTGGTTTGATTTTGCTTCTTGAGGTTTTCTTTGGAGTTATTTTGGTGCTGGCAAACAACTCTTGGTTATTGAGCTGAGAGACCAAACCTCAGCAGATGGATTTGAGTTGTTTTTGTTGCTGAAATGCAAAAGGCAGAGGGAAAATTGAGACAGCACCTCTGGTGTGGGAGTGGCAGCTGTGTGAGTTCACGGCTTTTTGATAAATTGATTTATTGATATTGTCTGTATCACACAGCTTGGAAAAAAAATAATCCTAAAAATGCCCATAAATGTAAGTTTTTGACTTTTAGATGCAGCCAAGTAAACAAAAATCAATTTATTTTCTTGCATGGACTAAAAACCATTCTGGAAACTTCCCTGAAGGTTTGGTCCTGATTTCAAAACAAGTGGCTGTTTGTATGGAAGCCTCTTAAAATTCAGGCTGTTTTCCAAGAAGAACCAGCTGAAAGGCAGGAGAATTGTTCTTTTTTTTTTTCCTAGAGGTGCTGTTTCCTTTCTCTGAAGGTAGGAAGCTGAGCTGGTGAAGTGCCAGAAGAGCAAAGCTGTATTGTTACAATAAATAGATTTTTTTTTTCCTATTTGTATTTTTTTTTAGCCGTTCATAATCCATATAGTTAAACAAAACACTTCTGTGGGTTTGTAGTTAAAAATATCCTCCTCCTTTCTGATAACCCAACAAGTATGATAATATTATTAAATAAGTTAAGAACAACTCCCATCTCTGATTATTTTAGTATAGAATTGTTGATAATTACTGAAAGCTGCAGTAGGAATATGTCCATTACTGTGGAAAAAGGAGATGAAATAAGAACTAAAATGTCCATTACTGTAGAAATAGAAAATTAAATAAGAACTAAAATGTCCATTTCTTGCAGGTCATGATGTTTAATAGTAAGAGAGTTTCTTGTGGCAACCAAAACTTGTGGAGAGGGAATCATTGGGAATTCCTGGGGGTGTTTGCTCAGTTCCTGGGGTGTGTGGCCATTCCTTTGCAGGATTCATTGGCCCTTGGGCCACATCCCATCCAGTTGGGAGCCAGTATTGCCTGGCTCATGGAAACTCTGATTAAAGGCTTGAATTTTCCTGAGGCTCCAGGATGAAGCAGCTGCTGGGGCAGGCAGTGGAAAGTATGAACAGCTCCTGCCTGGGGTTGTGTAACCCAGAGAAAATCAGCTCAGAGCAGGTGAGACCAGCAGGGCCTCTCTGAACCCCTGATCACAGCCCTGGAACCCCACTAAAGACAGCTCACCCCATAAAGCTTCCCACAGCAGTGGGATGTTCTCCCCTTGGGAAAGGCTTGGAATCTACAGAAGGTATAGAACAACTTTAAACACATTTTTGGAAGGTTTTTTTGGGATCTCTCCCGACATCAAAGCTCCTCACCTCGCCCAGAGCAGCTGAAGTGCAGGAATTCTTCACAGGAGGTGGTTTCAGGAGAGGTTCCTAAGCTGCCAAAGTGGAATTCTGTTCTTGTCCACTGCTCTGCAATGATGTTTTCATTTCCCCTGCTGGAAAAAAGGCAAATCCAGACATTCCCATGGCAGAAGTTAGAAGGAGATACAGGACCGTGTTGGCTTTCAGCAAGTGGGAGTTCCTAACCCAAAAAACACTGCCTGGAATATTCAGGAATTTAAAATGTTTTCAAGAATTATTTTTTAATGCTGACTTTTTTGCCCCTTTAATCAAAAAAGGGGGGTTCTTGCCATATGAATAAATAAATAAATGAATTGCATCCTCAAAGCTCTGTTGTTACATACCTCAAAAGCTTTAAATGCCATTGTGCTGCTGATGTGGCACTAATTAACATCTAAGATAATTACAGTGGATCAGGCATTAACCTCACCACAAATGCAGGTGATTTGGGATAAATTCCAGACTCTTCTGTGACTCCTTTTATTATCTTTTATTATTTTATCAAGGCCAGGCTGGACAGGGCTTGGAGCAACCTGGGATAGTGGAAGAGGGTTGGAATTAGATGATCTTTAAAGTCTCTTCCAGCCAAAGCATTCCATGATCTTTATTAGTAACTTTTAAATCCTTTTGAAATTTCCAGGTACACTTGATTTGTTCTTTGAAATGCAGAAACTTCTTGTAATTGCTTTGAGTTTTTTCCTACTCTCCCAGAACATTCTTAGAAAATATTTTTGAAGTTTATCTTCCATTCTTCCTTCTGTGACTGCAGTGGAAAATGTCATTCTTTAAAGATCACAGAAATACCAACCTGCTCCTGACCAGCTCCTGTGGTTTTCCAAAGCCTCCAGTGTTAAAGTTTTATTTTTTATTTCCTTTTGTTTTTCCCTTAGTCACAGGGGATGTGTCAGAGGATGAACACGTAACTTCTGCTTGCCTGGGATGATATCTTTAATATTTGAGTTAAACAAATCCTGCTGTCATGTTAGAAGGAACTAGAAATTAAAATAACCCCAAGCACCTGCTGTTTTCATCCTTATCTTTGCTCTCTCCCAAGTCACAGCTTTGGCATAATACAGCTGCATTTTTCATGATAATAAATTGTTAATTACTGAAGTATTTTTCATCCTTTTCCATCAGGGTTATGGTCATATCTTCACTCAGTGACACAGCTCTTATACCTGTCACAACTGAAAAAAAACCCATAAAAATTTTGAAAAATACTTTAGATCTTTAGATTTTTACATCTTAGAATTTATTTATTTTTTTTTACTTTTCAGAAATGGCAGTTAAACAGGAAAAGGAAAAAAAAAAATCCTAAACCTCTGACCCCACAGATGAAACCTGAGTCCTCAAGGTGTGTGGGAAGCACAAAATATCTGCAAAATGTTTGCTAATCAGAGCAAATTAACCAGTATAAAATAATGAGCAGCTGATTAATTCATAGGCACTGTTGGGAGTGCCTTTCTTGGTTCACAGGGGTGAGCTGGAAATGCTCAGAATGAGATTTTTATTTAATGGAATCAGAATGGGAGATCAAAGTTGGTCCTAGCTCCTGTCCCTCTGTGCCCTTGTGGAACAGAGGATTTTGGTTAAATTAAGATTATTTTAGTGATGGTTTCTGGTGGGTTCCTGTGGACTCATCAGTGCTGGAGGTGAATGAAAAGTGCAGTCCAGCCCCTGCTGGGACACAGCTGGGACCTGGCTTGGTGCTATTTAGGAACCACTTTGGGCTGGGAAACAAATGCTGACATTGGGGGCTATTTTTGAAAGGTGTTTATTTCTCACAGTTCATCAGCTCCTGGAGTTATTTGTAGTAGATCCATCCTTTTCAGTGCCTTGGTGAGTAATGATGCTTTAAAAGGTAAAGTCTAAAAAACTCCAAAAGATATAAATTTCAAAAAAAAATCCTTGGTTCTAGGAGGAGCAGATGGAATGATAGAAATGAGTTGTTGATTACTCAGTGATTGTAAATTGGAAAGCAGAGTTACTTAAATCTTCCTTCTGTGTCACCCTATCTTGGACTAAATCTGGTTTAAACTCCCCCAGTTGAGTGTTCGGTGCTGATGGTTTAATCACTGTCGGTGGGAGAGCAGTTCCCCCATTATTTTATCCTTAAAAACTGCCCAAGGATAAACTGTGAGCCCAGGGGAAAGGATCCTGTGAAAAATGAGTGACAGGAGAACAAACTCCAGCTGCAACATGACAGACCATGAGGATTTGGGGAAAACTGCAGGGTCAATAAACCTAAAACCAAACAAACACTGTAAACAAAGAAGTGCTGAAAGGCTTTAATGTATCAGCCTGAAAGTGAATAATCTTTATTTTTTAAAACAGATTGGATGTGGGACACCAAATTCACTAATGAGCAGAGTGCTCTGTCTGTATTTATTTCAAGTATTTGCAAATTATTGTTTAATCTCTCTCCCCCCCAGTTATTTGAGTCTCCCTTTATTGCTGCCTGTCCTGATTTGGATTTTGCCTTGCAAATGCTCTGATTTGAAGACTCTCTAATTTGGCATTTCTCTCTGCACAGCCCTTGTTGAGACTGCAGAAGGTGGAACAGGAAATGCTGTCTAAGTTCTTTTTTTGCTCTGCTGGGCAGGTTGGAGATGTCAGCTGTGATTTTCTGAGTTGGATTTACAGACAATCAAGGTAGAGGCCGTTAAATCAGGTGACTCTGAGAAGTGCCCGATTTCTGGTGGTTAAAAATATAAAACACAGTGTTTGTGAAACTCTGCCTCCTAAAAGGGGCTCTTAATCATGCCCAGGCTGTTTTTATGGAGAACATTTGAGCACATTCATGTGCTTTCCTCCTAGTCCAGCTCATGCAATAAAACACTCCAAGCTTTTTAGAGGAGTAGTTCAATAACAACCCAGTTGATCTGGAAAAAAGGCTCAGCTGCTCCCATGGGCACAGTCCCCCTATCAGTGTTTGCTGAAAGGCTGAGCACACAACAGAAGCTTTTCCTTCGACTGGGATGTTGTTGCAGGAGCTTAATGAGGTTCCTCAGAAATACCTTGGAGAGTGGAACCAACTGGCAAACACACCAGGAATAGCTCAGGGCAGCGCCCTCCTGGGAGCTCTGGGCCTTTCTGCCTTCCCTGGGGAAAGGAGTGGGGGGATTTATCAAATCAGGAGTTGGGGGCTGAAAGAAGCAACAGTTAACAGAAATTGTGAAAGCAGTTTGGGAGCCCAGCCCAGGGAGCAGCTGGAGCTGCTGGAGAGAGCCCAGAGGAGGCTCCAGGATGAGCAGAGGGATGGAGCAGCTCTGCTGGCAGGAAAGGCTGGCACAATTGCCATTGTTCAGCCTGGCCAGGAGAAGCTTTGGGCTGAGCTCAGGGTGGCCTTGCAGGGCCTGAAGGAGCCCCAGGAAAGCTGGAGAGAGACAATTGCCAAGGGCTGCAGGGCCAGGAGCCAGGGAATGGCTGCCAGGGGCAGAGGGCAGGGCTGGATCTTGGGATCTTGGGCAGGAATTGTTCCCTGGCAGGGTGGGCAGGGGCTGGGATGGAGTTGCCAGAGCAGCTGGGGCTGCCCCTGGATCCCTGGCAGTGCCCAAGGCCAGGCTGGACATTGGGAGCTCCTGGGACAGTGGGAGGTGGCCCTGCCATGGCTGGGGTGGAACAAGGTGATCTTTGATGTCCCTTCCATCCCAAACCACTCCATGGTTCTGTGATTTGTTCCAAGATCAAAACAGGTTTCCAGTGTTGTAGAATATTCCAGGTGAAGGTTAAATAACAAATCTGAGTGTGATAGCACACTTGGATGGAATTCTTAAGGTTTCAAAGAATCCCAGAAGGATTTCAGTTGTAAGGGACCTTCGGTCCCACCCAGTGTCACTCCTGCCATGGCAGGGCCACCTCCCACTGTCCCAGGAGCTCCCAATGTCCAGCCTGGCCTTGGGCACTGCCAGGGATCCAGGGGCAGCCCCAGCTGCTCTGGGCAGTGAGTGCAGAATTTGTTTCCAGTGGAATTGCACAGAGGCAGCAGCCCAGGTATAAATAGTGTGGAAAATGTCCCATGGAGCTTTATTATCCCCACAGCTGATCTGCATGGGAATCAAAAATGAAGTTCCCTTAAATTTCTTAAGGAAAATGGGAGGAGATGAGGGGCCTGGGAACATCTTTGAACATTTATTTAAGCAGCACCCTCCATACTCGGCTGGATCAGGACTTTGAGCAGGTCTGAGTTGGTCCACACTGCTGTGTTTTGGGTTTAAGTACCACCTGAGGGATTGTAGGAACTAGTCAAGCAAGGAGTCTCAGGGAATGTATAATTATTTCACAGTACCTCTATGTAAAAAATGTCTTTTTAATGCTGTGACTTCCAAGAAGAGAACAAAATTTAATAGGTGATACAAGTGTTCTGGTAGGCTCTTTCTAAATTTCCTTTAAATAAAAGTAAAGTAATAGAAAAAGACACCTGGTTTTTAGGTTTCTAAGGCTGGAATTCTAAGAAATCAGGATATGCAAGGAATAAGGTGAAAGATGTGTTTAAGTTATATTTTTTTCTGATATTTAGGGGAAAAAGAATTAAATCAGAGTTGATAGAATGAAGTCATTAAACTGCTTTGGTCCCTAAAGAGAGAGACACAAAGATTCCCAGTTAGAAACCAGCCCAGGAGAATATCCTGCTTTCCATACCTTGCAGACTTTGAGAAATGTTTTCCAGGAAAGCTGAGTACAGCCATGAATCACTTATGGAAAACCCAGTGGAAGGAATTAGTCAAAGAAATGCTGCAGTAGCCATCCCCTGCCTATCAGGAAATGGGGCAGCTTTCCATGATTTTATACAAATCATGGCACATCCATTTCCAAAAGCTCTCATGAAAAGAGCAAGGAAAAAGTTGCTGCTCATTGACTTTCTAAAAATGCTTATTTTGAAATGAATACTGACATTTCATATCAGCCAAAAGGGCTTTTCCCTTTTCTTCCTGGATTTTCCTGCTGGAATAATCAAGGGAGTTGGATGAGGGGGAACTGGCAGTGATTGGTGTCCTCACAGGCAGCAAATTGGCCAAATATTTCTTTCCTGATTGATAATGAATGAATTATTTCATGTTATCAGTGTAATTATCAGCCAAACTCTCCAGTGTTTGCTTTGCCCCCTGCAAAATGCTTGGAAGTGTGGGAACTTCCATGGTTTTCCCACTCCTTCCCATGGTTTTAACATCATCTGTGTTCATTTTTCTGGTGTTACGGGGCTGAAAGAAATCAGAAATGCCACAATGAAGCGGGGAGGGTGAGGAATTGCAGCTTTCAGTGTTCTTGGAGTGAGTCCTGGGGGAATTTTTGTGAATGGGCTACGGATCCAAATGTCTGGGGCAGCTCCTGGGCTTGGCAAGAATCTGCTTCTCTCCTGTCAGAGATATGAAGCTGAATATTAAATTCAGCCTGACAAATCCCAATTTCTGCAGCTCCTGCTTCCTTGCCAAGAGCTGCCTCTGCCAAAGGTGATGCATCCAAGGTTTTTAGAGAGCTGCAGAGGAAGTTGGGTTGTGTTTGGGTTTGTTTTAATGGGTTTTTTGGTTTGTTGTGTGTTTGGTTTGGTGGTAGTGGTTTCTTTTCCTGTGGGAACAGCTCGTGCATGGATCTATTCTGGATTAAAGCAGCCAGCTCAGGGGGAATAGGTTGAATTTTTGTTATTAATAAATGAAAGCTGCTGCCTTTATTTTGTGTTCAGCTGTTCTGAACTGCCCTGCTCAGTTCCTGGGCTGCTTTGGAAAGAGGGCAAAGTAAAGGTGTTTTGAGAAAGTGGATGGTGCCTCACTTAAATCCACCTGAAGAAGTTTTTGACCACCTGAAGACATTTTAAACGTGAATTTTCAGCCATTCAAGATCCCACAGAGCTGAGCATTCCCCTCCCTTCCCAAGCTTCACCCTCTCACTGCACCTCTCCATCCATTGGCATTTTTACTTCTCCATGATTTGTGTCCCTTTTCCAATGCCTCAGAGAGAGCCACTTGGAATTCTTCCTGTCACTTTTGCTCTTTGAATCTTAAAACCCGGAGCCTGCATCCTCTGCTGAATACACTTTTCATTTCTCCCTCCTCCTTTAACCATTTTTCCTGGTGGAAATTCCCTTGGAGGCTCCAGACATTCCAGCATTTGGCTGCTCTCTGATGATTTGGGGAAATGTCTCTCAAGATGATTTGGAGAAAGCTCTTCAAGGGACATTTTCTTTCCCTGAAGGAGCTTTTTCAAAGGCAAACTCGATGCCTTTGTATCCAGATGATTCTTGTAAGGATTGAGTCGTGTCCTGAGGAGATTATCCCTGGGTGATGTCTCAGCAGTCTCCCAGTAATCCTCAGAAATTCCCAACCTTTATCCTGCTCTTTGTTTTCCTCTTTCAGTGAG